AACCCATGAGGCTTCGGCCTTTCACCATGTCAGCTCCTGGATGGGTGGTGTAGCCCCAAGAAGGAGAAGGGAAGGGGGTGGTTGAGTTTGGTGCTGTTGTCATCCTTCCTTGGAAGGATATGACCACAGAAGCTGATGTTTATTTTCCCTTCCAGGAATGGATGGCAAGAAGATGCCAAAACACCTCTCAGACATGACCTGCTGCTTCTCAAGAGGAAAGGGAGGGTTTGGCCAGGCCATCATGGAATCATTATGGTTGGGAAAGCGTTCAAGATCCTTGAAGACCAAATGTAAACCTGTCATTACTATGCTAAACTACATCCAAGTGCCTCATCCTGTTGTCTTGCTCCAGCCCCCAGTGCCAGCAGCTCAGGCACGGCCACAACCTAGGATTAAGGGACAACAGCTTTGATAGGAAGCCAGCGAGGGCATAACCCCAGCTCCGAGCCGGGCACATCATGTGGATGTCAGTCAACCATTCCTAGGTCACTGACTTTCCTCTGGCAGGGGTCAGTGGCATCAGATTTTTGTTGTTTTTAAACCTGTCAGCCCTCTCAAAACCTTTTTCTATTAAAGAAAAAGAAAGAAATAAAAAAGGCACATTCTACTTGCCACTGGTGAAAAGCCCTCACTTCAAAACCAGCAGTGGGGCTTGGCAACCACCTGCTTGCTTTCAAGTGCTCCTGGAGCCTGTTCTCACTTTTTTTTTTCCCCTCCCCTCCCTCCTGTGATAAACTGTATTACTATTTCCTAACATCGTAGGTCAAGAACATTTGGTGACTACTAAATTCAGCTTTCAAGGAAACAACAAAACACACAAAAGGGAACTTAGAAAAAAACAAGCATTAGTCACTTGTCAGACTCTAGATATAAAAGCACATATTTAATCACATGTTATCATGATATAGCTGTGCCAAGCAAGGTATGACCCAAAAAAGGTTTACATAATTATGTCATTAACTTGCCCACTCATGTCATAAACTGGAACAGACTGATTGTTACAAATTAATCTGCAACTGGTTTGTGTCTGAAGTTCGGGGCATAGGGCAGGCAAAGGTGAAATGAGTACCGACGTTCCCGAGATAAGGCTGGGTGACGGCTCTCAAACTTGGTTTTGTGTCAGCACATGGATCGATAGCCGCATATCAGTCAGCCCATCAATCACAGCAGTACCCTTGGAAGTAAAGGCACGTGCTGTTCCCGATACTTGTAGCACCCCGTGCATTCAATAAACTTCCTCCTAAGGAGATCAGCCCTGTTAACAGGAAGGAAATTGCTCATTTTAAAGTTATGAGCCAAGCCCTAAAGACGCTGTAGTATGCTTGTGTAACTCACACATTCTATTGCCCTAGTATTATGACCACTAATATCAAACACCATCAAAACGACCAAGATTCCTCTGCCACCATAATCTTCTCATCATATCCATGCCTCTAGGATGCCTCTAAACTGCTGCCCCATCCTTGGGAGAAAACCATTACAAATCTCTTATTCTCCCTTTGATCGTGCCCTTTGCCAGGTGCTGCAGAAAGATGCTTTTCCACTCCTCCCACAAATCATAGTGTAGAGCAATAATTTTCTCATAAGCTACGCAGACACAAGCCAGCAACCAAGGGAGCCCTCCAAGTTTTCTGTAGCCTATTGGGGTGACTGGAGAAGAGAAGGCTGAGAGGGGATCTAATCAGTGTATATAAATACCTCAAGGGAGGGAGTGCAGAGGACGGGGATGGTCTCTTTTCAGTGGTGGCCACTGATAGGACTAGAGGAAATGGCCGGAAACTGAAACATCAAAAATTCCATAGGAACTTAAGGAAAAATTTCTTAACAGTGAGGGTGACAGAGCACTGGAACAGGCTGCCCAGAGAGGTTGTGGAGTCTCCTTCTCTGGAGATCTTCAAAACCCGTTTGGACGCAGTCCTGTGCCACGTGCTCTAGGTGTCCCTGCGTATGCAGGGGGGTTGGACTAGATGATCTCTAGAGGTCCCTTCCAACCCTAAGCATTCTATGATTCTATGATTCTATGACTGGGGCAAGTCAGGCACTTGTTAGAAATAGTTTCTGACCAACACAGACACAAGCAGACAGTCCCTTCCCAACACACACAGAAACAAAGATATTTTAAACTAAATCTTATGTTCTGCCAAAGCTAATTCAGCTGCCAGAAAATATCTTGTCATGCAATACTCCAATAACCTTTTCGCTTTGCTTTTCCTTACCCTTCTGTAAACCAAGTCTGACACCTGCTTGGGGATTTACCTTTTCATTGCAACTTGGTTTTATTTATTCTTGGTGTAGGAGCCCAGGAGCCTTACCCAGCAGAAAGGCAGTTATTACTGTTACAGCAGAGATGCAAGTGGGAACTCCTGACAATTTATACATCAAGTAGCTTGCAGGGCCTTGGACATTACTGCCAGACATGCACCAAAAGCCGTGAATGTATTATCTGGATTATCATACTTTGCTACCTTCACCTTTCGCTCCTCCTCCTCCATGAGGAGGAGACAGCCCCTCAATCATATGACCAAACACAAGAGATTACACATTACAAAACGCTGTGACTTCCCTCGGCCAGAGGGAGAACCACGGCGTCCCCGAGCTCGGAGCAGGCAAGGGAAGAGCCGGGATGAACCTCCTGCCGTCCTTCTCGCTTGAGACCTGGGCCCTCTTGCTTGTTTTCTTAGCGGTCGTGATACTGTGAGTAAATATGTCCTTTACTGCTTCTTTGCTCGAGCCATTTTCCTGTTCTCACTGCTCATTTAATGTGACTCATCTGAAGACACACAAACAGGTAGGTGCAATTTGCAGCCTCGGTAATGAGGCATTGGCAGAAGATCCATGCGGACGCGTGATCTAAGGAACTACATGGACACGAGGTCTGTTATGTGACTTCACACAGAAACAGAGAGTCTAAGGAAGCCTTTGCTGGGCTGAATGGCAGAAAGATGCCCTATGGAGGAGGGTAGGCAGTAAATGATGCTGCTACCTGACCTGCAAAAGTAGAGAGCAGCAGAAAGGCAGCAAGGCAAAAGCATCACTCAGCTCACTCTTACTCTTCCTGATTCCTTTAGCAGTGCCCAGGTGAAGCTGCTCCATGCATCAAAACCTGCTGCAAGGGGGATGCTTGTCAGGGGTCTGAGCCCCACCATGCCTGCAGTGCTATTGCCCCAAGGCTTTTTCTCCTTTGCTGATAGAAGCCCCCAGTGAGGCCAGTTCTCCTATTTCTTTTTTTTCCCCAGAAAAAAAAGAAACAAACAATCACTGTCATATAGAAACATACCTTAGTGCCATAGAAGCCCCTGTGCCATGAAGAGAACTTCCCTCAGCTTAGCAGATGCTGCTCCAAGCTACAGCATAGCCAGGCCAGCATCACCCCTGCCAAGAGGCTGGGCTAACAGAGCCCTTAGAGTGTTGACTAGCCCTTAGGGAGGGACAGCCTGTTTCTAGCTGTAAACCTTAATGATTAATGTTGTGCACATGAGCACAACCCATTTATCTGCCCTGGCAAGGCTTCAGCTGTCACAACTCACTAAGTTTTCTGCCTTCTGAAACTTTCTGCTCTACTTTCTTTGAGCCCCTTCTTGTGATTTTGGCTGTCATTTGTACCACTCAAAGGCTTGTTTGGGGCAGGCTCTTTCAAAAACCTCCTATTATCTGACCCAGACCTTCCTATCTCAGTGTCTCTGGCCATGCCCAACTTGCTGGCTACCTGCCTCCTGCAGCCACTTGCCCTCTGTTTCAAGGAATAAAACCAGGAGCTCATGTGCCAGTGTCTCAATGGAAACAGAAAATCCCCCACCTGTTCAAACCCCTTTGCTCCTGCCTGCAACAATGCTGTCCTGGTTCACAAATGAATGAATACCAGGCATTTCTGGCTCCTTTCCATCGTGAGATGATGTAACGGTTATTCTCTGTCTTTGCACTGAACAGCCCTACTCAGATTGCAGAAAAGCAGGCACATTTTAGCTGTAGGAGCAGTAGGCTGTGCTGTCCTGGCTGTGTTTCAAATGAATTCTGCCTATTCTCTGTTCCTATGGCACGTCTGGGCTCTGCAAATGGCCAAACCTTGGTCCTCCTGCAGCTCCAGCTGCTTCTAAATACTAAAAATGAGTGTCTATAGACTCTTTGCATGGAGCAGTGAATTAAATCTAGAGGGAAAAGGGTAAAATGGAGACAGGGTGAGTTTCAGGCAACACTGGGAGGAGCACAGGCGCTCCCTGGCACCTTTGGGCTAGCAAAAAAACAAATATTTTGAGAAGCATTTTTCAACACAGCCAAAGAGAAGCTGCTAAGGGCTGCAGCCTAGAACCTTGTCTGAAAGCAGAGGGCCCCAAGATAGAAGCAATAACTCCACAGCTGCCAAAAAAAAGGGTGCTTCAGAGGAAAGAAAGCTGCAAAGCTGTCAATAAAATCTAATGAGAAAATCACCAGGACTTCATGACACACTGCTGGGCTAATGCTGGGTTAAGGAGATGGAGAACAGTGAATGAAATTAAAGTGCAGCCTCACAAAAGCCATGCTTGGGACCTCCCTTCTGGCACTGCTTTGATTTTGCTGCAATAAAAATATGTAAGCTTGTTGTATGTTCTTCCATTCCTCTTTACTGCTTCTCCTCTGGCTGGCAAGTATCTCCTCTTTTGCAGTTGGCTAAGGGCTTTGAGGTCCTCTTTCTACTGGAGCACCTATTCCTTTCTGAAAAGACAGCTTTTTCCTCTAAGCCGTCTCTTGGAAGGTTTGTGCTGCAGCAGTGAGGCTTGCCATGTTTATTAAGTAGTTTTAGTAGTTTTTTTACTGCATAATATTCTTTTGGGCCATGTTTTTTTCCAGCTTTCCGACCACCCTCCTCTCCTTGGTGCCAAAGCAGCTTCGATGCAGGTCTGGGTTCGTTCTGGGGAGCTCACAGCACTCAGGTGCATCTCCTGTCTTACAGATA